GCAAAAAAACATGCAATATGTAATAATAAAGCCAATACTACTAAAACCAAGTAAATTAGAACCATAAATATAACACAACTTCAAAATCAAAAAAAAAAATTGTTTAACATATGTCAAATTCCAACATAATAAAAATAAGTTACAATACAAGTTAAGATTAGGAAACATATAAGTTCTTAACTTCATTCAACAACGAAATTCTACTTTAATGACCTCACTCATTATATGCCAAGTTTGTTAATGACTCATTATTTCTAATATTAGGAGGTGTAGTTTCAAAAACTATAATAATAACGCAGATACTAACTGAAGAAAATAAAACAGATAAGAAATAAAATATACGAGCAATTACATAGAATCACAAGAAGTAATGGTAGAGAAATAAAAGATAAATAATGTATAAAGAAAAATATATTTTAAAATTTAAAAAGAAATTAAAAAGTAAAAATAAAATAAAAAGAAATAAAAATATGGAAATAAAAAGTGATAAAAAATTAAATTAAAACAAAAACAAAAAGGAAAGAAATTAAAAAGTAACTTTGTAATTACCACCAATTCTCACCTCCCCTTGAGAACTGGAGAGTATAATTATACCTCCACAATTACACGCAGTTATATGCTGACCAAGTAATTATTTGGCGAAACAAACATGCCAAACTGTGTAATTATACCCAATGACACTCAAATCCAATTCCTAGGTGGCTTTCCATACAAGCTCCTAATGTTTATCATTGCAGCTTCAGCCACACAAAGGTTGTAATAGAGGGGGGAAGGGTAGAAAATGCATTCTTTTGCCATCAGTTGAACTAAGAACTAGTATAAAGTTAGTCGGCCTGAGTACAAAGAAGCAAGGAAAAAAATAATGACAGCACAAGAATGAGTGATGACATAATTTAACCATCAACCTCATATAAGATCTATTAATTAGTTAGCTAATTGGACAAATGGGATAAATAGCCAGTTTCTATACCTCTTTCATAGCAAGCCAACAACCAACCATAACTATCTGCTCAGTTTGCCTGCCATCCGGCACCACTTTTGTATTTTCTACCTTGGCTGAGGTAGATAGGGACTCATCCATCTCATGAGGAACCTCTAACAAAAGAGCATCATCATCCATTTCCTCCATATCATCAGGTAAGTACCAGGCATCAGCAGATACCACCCAAAGGGCCAATGAAGTTATCCGCATGACCAACTCCAATATCTTCTCCAATACCACTTTCATTTCGGATATACTGCAGACTACTGCATCCGAATCCCAGTCCAGTTCCTCAAAAGTATATCGAAGAGCAAGCAAAGCACCATGAACAAAGCTGTCCCTACATGCTTCTGAGAGATCCTTCTCTCCAACCTGAACAACCGCATCCAACCAATCAATCAGTGATCTTAAATACTCTATTGCTGGAGGTGCAAACTTACAAGCCTTATTCTCCCCATTTAGCAGCTTCAACAGTGGTTGTGGAGAGACATCGTTAGATGAGGCATTAACAACCCAACCAAGATCCAAAACATACTTTCTGAATATAAGTCGTAAGGTCAAAGCTCCAGCATCACTCTCTCTCACACGTGGACTACAGACTAGCTTCTTAGCCCAAACAATTGCTTCACTAACCCTGTCCTGGCTATCAATTCCAGGAAGAGGGGTAGGAAAATGCAGCAGAATACGAAAAGAACTCTCTCTAAGTCGGTCCCAGCTATCAACAATTGATCCAACCAGCAACAGAGTTGATTCAGGTAAAAGAAGCCCCTTATTGTAGGGATAAAGACAGAATTGGGGAGAAACAGCATCAGTGTTTCCTTCTGTAGAAAGCACAATAGACCAAACATTTAGCATTATCAATAAAAGCTCCATTGCCATTATCTTTCTCTCATATGGAGCAGATGGGTAGCACGAAAAGAACAGAAAGCAACTCAACCACTTCATAAAGTTAAAAAGTTCATCTGCCCTGTCTTCAAACGCGTCCCCTGTTCCTTTGGCAACAGAATTTCTCCTTGTGTCTTTATGTGCAAGGGGTTGCCAACCTCCCTGCTTAACCTGCCTCTCCAATGCTGTTCGAACCCGGGAAAAGAACTTCCTAAATAAGCTTGTCCACTTCATCTGGAAAGCAGTTGAGCAACATCTCATGTTCAAAGGAACTGCTACCTTCATCAGACTGAGTTCCAATGACGATGGTAAACTTGCGGTCTTTGGATTTATGAACAGAGATTCTGCTGCATCAATCCGAAGCGACTCATCAATATGGGTAAGTGCCAAAACCAGATATTTCACTGGGACTTTAATCTCAATCTCCTTAATGCAGGCAACAGCATCTCTATTTTCCATGTTCTGCTCCATGTCCTCCGTGGATGACAAAGAATTATTAGACCAATCAATATCCCCTTCCAGCAAAGCAAGTAAACGAGAAACCTTAAACAATGAAACTAAAACAGCCACGCGCTCTTCAAGCGCAGGAGTCACACCCCTAAAATCCAGCTCAGTAAGAAATACTTCACCACTGTCCCCACCACATCCAATGCCAATAAAAGCAAGCATAGGAAATATAGCATCAACATCCAGTTCAAGAACTACTGGCAGTGCATAGGTGTTAAGATTTGAGCGGAGTTTTGAATGTCCAGAAACTAGGCCAGACAAAAGTGGAAGCAGGCAATGACCTCTATATTTGTTGTACCCCCTTTCAACACCATCACTACTCCAATACTCATCACGCAAACACTCAAGGAAACACTTGAGGAATGTTGTTAAAGCACAGCACACGTCATCATCAATGTATGCCTTTATCGTTTCAAACAACAGATCTGGTCTCATACTTAAAAGTGTCCTTGCGCCCAGCCTCTTGGTAAGGGATGCTAAAGGAACGTATCTTCCTTTACAACGTGGTCCCAGGCGAAGAAGATCAAAAGCAACCTTCCTCATGAACAATTTGAATGTATCACTACCCTCTACCCAGTGCAGACTGGCCTGAATGTCTAAGAAGAGATCAAAAATAAGATGCACTTGTTTGACCGTTTGGCTCAGAGGATCTTCCAAATTATTCCACACTATTTGCAACAACCGTGTCCCAATGTCCTCAGAAATGGGATCATAATTTATTTCACGACTTCCATTCTTATCTAACATCGACGTTTTAACCTGCTGCAGGCAAATCTGCATCACAGTCAGAGCATGAAAATTGAAGTGACTGTCAATTGGATTCTCACAATAATTACAAAGCTCAGGCAATATCCCATCATAAAGAATCATCTTGATTGATTCCTCGTTATCATTTGATATAAGAAATCCAATATTCAATACTGTCCTCGAGACTGCAGTTAAGATACCTCGAATCAAACAAAGTCTGCTCAACGACAAAAACTTACTTAATTCACCAATCAAATCGCCCTTAAACGGGATTTTATCAACTACATCCTTAAATTCAAACTCATCATACACAATTTCACTCTCATTAAAAATTCCTTCCATAATAAACAATCCAAGCTCTTGAGGACTAAGACAAACCTGTAACACTGCGCAAAAACTCACCCCTGCAGCCACTAAACAATCCCTAGAAAATGATTCTGATCTCAAAATACTCAAAACAGTAATCAATATTCTCTCCAGAAAAACACAATTATCACCTGCAGCATTAACAAACTTCAAAGGAAATCGTTGAAGCAAGTAATACATACACGAAAGTGCTTCATTGCATTGTTCCATTACGATAGGTGACGGTCTAGAATAATTCTTCAACTCTTCTAATACCTCGCTTAACCCTAATACAACATTTAAACTAACCAAAACCGCACATTCTTCAACAATTTCAACTAAGTACCCTAATTTCGGTGTGCTCATCATAGACAACGCTGCTCTAGAAACACAAAATCTCTTTCCTTTATCGCCATATTCTTCGCAAAGTTCACGAAAACAGTTTTGAATTAAGTTATGAAAATTCTTGCATTTGACAAGCACGGAGAGTAAAGTTCTATGCAATGGCTGTGAATTTTCTAGAAAGAGAATTTCTAGGTAAAATCTGGAAGCTGTAGAGATAGATGACACGTCAGCATTGGGGTTTGAGAGTAATTCGGCGAAAGCTGAAGCGAGGTTCTTAGCGTGAGTGAGCTGAGAGTATGTGGATGATAAGGAGGTGAAGTGTTTGAGTTCGGTGTAGAAGTGAGTGGAAGGTGTTTGATGAAATGCGTCACTGAAATTTTTGGGAAATATTACGGCACTGTAGGTGTAACGATGACGATGCTGTAAGGCTCTCCATTTAGCTGACATATCGGTATTTCGGTATTTGGATTAAACGGAGGTTATGTCACCGGAAGTTTGGCAACGGCGACTTGGTGGTTCTTTGCCAGGGTTGTTTGGGGTTCAAGAAGGGTTTTTAGGAGAATTGTATAGTAGGGAAACAAATTGACCAACGTACCCCTGCACATTTCTTTTTTTTCTTTTCTGTTTGAACTTTGAAGCGTGGTATGATAAAATTTCCAGCGAATATTGGCAATTAGAAGCCATAAAATTTTTAGATTAGGAAATCAGTAAAAGCAATTTCAAATGATTTGGTTGATGAACCTTACAAACTTGACTGATCATGAACCTAAAGATGTAACATTGACAGCAGGGGTGGCAAACGGGCATGTCGGGTCGGATGTGGGACGGGTTAACACGGGTAATGAGAAAACGGATAGATTATTCGAAACCCGACTCATATTTAATACGGATAAAAAACGGGTTAACCGGCACATAATATGAGTAACTATATTATTCATGGCTTCACTATTGGGAGAATTCCTAGTTTCTCAAACTTGAGGAACCCCCAATTTGAGATTTTACAAATGTAAAAGTTAAACACATCAATTATCCATTGGTTATCAATTTTCTAAACAGATTTTTACCTAGCTATACGATATTGAAAACTTATTTACCTATGTTTTGTAGTTTTTAATAAGTATCGAGGTTTTTCTTACAAATTGTATACATTGCTCCTTATAAAGCTCTCACCCCATTATTAGTGCCTTCAATTAAGGGATTCAATTACATCCTTCCCCTTTTTTCCCTTTCCTTGCCTCTCTCTCTTTTTTACATTAGAATCCTTTAATCTACGCCAAGAATCTCCATCTTCTCTCTTCCCACCATTGCTGACAACTTTATATTATTAAAAAATCGTCAATTGTATCGTTCTTTTGCTGGAAGACTGGATAACACTGAAAATGAAGAAATATTAAGGAATTGTATGATAGTTGTATTATAATTGTATTAAAAATTGTATCAGATACATCAATACAAAAATAAAATTATATTATACTTGCATCTTAATTGTATCTAACTTTTATCTGGTACATTAATACTCAAAATAATACATGATATTATACTAATAAATTAATATACAATTATCATATATTTGTGATACAAATTGTGAAATTCACACAACTGCTCGTAACAATATACAATGAATATACAATTATCATATATTTATAATACAATTACTGCAACAATTTTGATACATATACAATTATAATAAATCGCGATACATTCTGAAAAATTGTGATACAATTCTGATCTTCATCTTCTTCAAGTTTCAGTCATAACTCTTCACTAAAAATCTAATATAATCGTATTATAATTATATTAGTATTGTATCGAGTATTATTTTGGGTATTGATGTATCATATACAAGTCACATACAATAAAGATTTTAGAAAGAAAGAAAACAAAATTCAAAATTTACTCACAGCTTAATTCTAGAGCAATATTCCGTATTTCGTTTGCATTGTATCAATAAGAAAGAGAGAAATTGAGTTTGAAAATCTTTGAAAAAGGAAAAAAATCGGAACTTTTTTTTGGGGGGGGGGGGGGGTTATAAAAATAAAAGAGAGATTTTGGGTGATAATTAAGAAAGAGAGAAAAAAGAAACAGAATCTTAAATGTAGGGGAGGGCTATTGGAAATGGGGGTGAGTGTCGTGTAACTGACATGCTAAAATTAAGGGATCTTGAATTTTTGTTTTATGGTTTTGTACGTAACTTGTAAATATAGATAAACTAAGTAATTAATAAGGAACCTAAATAAAGATTGTAAATAGGTGTCTATTATATTATAGCTAGGCAAAAGTCCCTTTTTTGATAATTTGGTTGTTATCCATATTTGGCCCATTTTTAAAAAGTTCATTATCCAATCCATTTTTTAGTGGATAATATGGGTGGTTAACTTTTTTTCTTTTAACCATTTTGTCACCCCTAATTGACAGTATAAGAGACTATATCAAATGGTTATAGCATGCTGTTTTATTTTTTATGTTATTGAACTATTATTATTTTAGATAATTAACCGTTTTTATAAGTCATCTTAACTTCATAGTATAAATAAATTATATACTATCAATGTATAAAAATAATTTAAACTCATAATTCAAATAGAGTCACTTCATCAATAGGAAAATAACTTAATTATATTTGGATATTATTATAATTAAGTTTCCACAATTAGATAGAACGGTCAATGAAATGATTAAAAAAAACCTTTATGTAACTTGTTGCTATTAACAAATGATGAAGGGGTGATCTCTGATTGAGTTTGATTCTAGACCCCTAGCTTCTCTCAAGAGCAATTTTCATAAAATACCATAGTTTAGAACATAGTAGCTATATTTTGCCTAATTACTATTAGCAGCAATTGTTCAATTGTTATCAACTTGAATTACTTGTATTCAAACGCGCAACGAATACAATATGTGTCAACTGTATTCGTTCGTGCAACGAATACAACTTATATCAACTGTATTTTTTTGCCCAATTGTATTCATACGCACAACGAATACAACATGTATCAATTGTAACCAAGGCAAAATACAAAGGTGCGTATAAAGGATACAATATGTATCAACTGTATACAGGAGTGTATACAAAGTATACAACCTGTATCGAATGTATTAATATCGATTGTATTCATTTAATTTCTTGTTTCATAAATTTGCTATAAAATTCAAATATACGTTTGACGTCTCGCGTACTTTACCTTCTCTCAAAGCATGCACATCTAGATGTTCCCAACCCAAATCATTTCTAATGAAGTTTGCGCACTGAAGTCACCCAATCCATTGAGTAACTCGTAAAAGCCCAAAAATAAAGCTCATCATAGAAACAATGGAGTACTAAGGCAGGCCATGTGGAATATTTATTTATAGCGTGTACATAAGTTGGGTCAAATCGAATTTTTTATTGGGAATCTTACGGGAATGTATATCAAAAAAAGACCCTATTTACTAATAACAAACTATTTTAGTCATGCTACCGAAAAAAAAGTTAACAATAATAAGGCAAATTTTTTTTCGCAATGGGTATTGTTGTGATTCGTTTAAAACAAATAGATGAGACAATATACAAATTTTGATGAAGTTTGATGGGTTAGAATAGTTTGGAGTTAAAATTCATTACCAGTAATATAAACTATTAAAAAAATAGGGAAAAGGATTTTGTCATTGGGCATGGTTTGTATTCATTGAAAACATATAAATGAGGCAATATATAAAATTTGAACAGGATTGGAGGTGATTTGGACTGATTTGGTATCAAAATTCATAGTTAAAATCGAGTTTTAAAGATTCTTCTGCGACACATGTATCAAACATGGATCTCACACACAGGTATACATGGATATACATGTGATACATATTTGATACACATATGATACATATGTGATACACAAATATACTTTGAATTTTTGATTCAAACCACCTCAAAACTCTACCAAATCATCCCAAAACTGAGATTCAAAATTCTTAAGATATACCCAATCTATTCCAACAACACACACTCAAAAGAAAGCAAAAGGTTGAACTTTTTCTTGGCCACAGATAGTTAATGGACTAATATTCCAACAACACACACTCAAAAGAAAGCAAAAAATTGACCTTTTTTTGCCACAGATTTGTAGCACTAAACTATAATATCACCAACAATAAAGAGAGTTAAATCCCATAAAACAAGCACGACTATTAAGCCATAATAAAATAAACATAGTCTAAAAGTACTTAGTCATGCTAAATTAAGTACCGCTAATAAGTTTTAATTTCATGGCCGAAGACTAACAAAATATTAAAATCAAGTTATTTATTTTACTGTCTAAATCAATGCAAAAAAAAAAAAAAAAAAAGATCAACACTATTGTCATTTCTATTGTTGAATCAAATCTTTTTTTTATTTGAATTAGTATTTATTTGGTTTTGAATTGAGCTTTATTTAGTTACTGACATCTATATGTTATAAAACTTATTAGACCACTAAAAAAATTCTAAGTTCAAACTTAAAATAATATGTCCAAATACAAAAACTATGAAAAACTTAAGAAACAATTACAAATTATATTACAATAAGCACTTGTATGTATAAAATATTCTTAAAAATTATATACATATAATGTCAAGTTAGTTTGGTTTTGATTTGACTTTTTTTTTTATTTAATATCAAACCAAATTACTTATAATCGATTTTTTCAATACCAAACTATTAGTCGGGGTTTTGTTCGAGTTAACTCGAATTATCAATTTGATGTGTTTTGTCAAATTTCTTTGAATATCTCTAAGTTTGAGGATCGATTCTTGATATTTGATGTTTTTTTGATGATTTGAGTGAGCGAACGAGTTTTTATGACACTCGTGTGCAGGTTTTGGTTGTAGCTCGAGGGGCTCGGGTGAGTTTCAAATGAGTTTTTGATGGTTTGGAACTGTTGGTGCCCAGCAGTTGCTGGTGCTAGGTCGCAGGTCTCACGTTTGAACCTGATCGCAATTGCGAGCCTCGCATTTGCGATGTCAAGCTTGCAAATGCGAACATGGGCTGGGGGACTGGTTTTCGCTTTTGTGAAGAACTCATCGCATTTGCGACCTTGGGAGGTCCGTATTTGCAACTATTATTATCGTTTTTGCGAGGACTGGGATTCATGGACTGCTTCTCGAATACGAAGCATGCACCGCATTTGCGATGGCTAGGAACTTTGCAAATGCGAGGGATTTGTTGCATTTGTGACTTTTGTAGGTCTGATGCACTGATAGCAATTATAATCAGTGTGTTGTCTTTGCAGACATCTCAATTGCGAACAAGAGTTTGCATTTGCGACATCTACAGTTTGGTAAAAGATAGGGAAATCGGGACTTAGCTCATTTTACACCCTTTCAACCCTAGGCTCCCTAGAGGCTATTTTTGAAGAACATTTTCTCCCTAATTCATTGGTAAGCATCTTTAACTACTTTTCAATCATATGGGTGCATAAGGATGTTGTGCTCAGCCTGGAATACAATCATGAAATTGAAAGTACCAGAGATTCCTAAAGGCATACCATCAGAAAAACTTCCTTGACCAATTGGGTAGATCAAGAAAACTGCGGTAGTAATTGCAACAAGAGCTGAATATGCAATAGCAATCCAAGGTCGCATACCCAGACGGAAACTAAGCTCCCACTCACAACCCATGTAACAAGC